GGCAGCGTCGTCGGGGTCTAGCGGGTCTGGCTCGTCGGAAAAGGCAAATTCGTTCTCGCGCGTGTCAAGGGCATCCAGGTCGTACCACTGCGACAGCTTCTTCCAGATGCCGGGGATGCGCGTGTGGGGTGCATCCTCTCCCGCGAAGCCATGCGAGCGCATATCAGTGTGAATGCTAATCATACGGAAATGCTTGTGCAGGCCGGTGGGCTTCCACTTCATCATGCTCTTGAGGAGCTGCGTTTCCTGCTCATCGGCCCATGGGTCGCTGAGAATCTCATCTTGCGCCTGCACGGCGCCCGAGTCCTGGGGCGTTTTTGGCTGGGTGTCGCCCAACGGAGTCGAGGCAGCGCTGGCCTTTGCCTTTTTCCGAGGAGGCATTTCCCGCGAGTAAATAGCGATGACGGTGTGGTTGTGGAAGGATGAGCGGGAATGCGCGAGAAAATGGATACGCGACGCGAAGCTGCAGGTGGGTAGGGCTGAGCGCCCCCCAGTCCAGACAGGAACAGCGTCATACCCCTCCTATCCGATTACTCGACTGTGCCGCCGCCATGGAAGCGGGCGATTCGATTCATAATGTGTTCAGTAGCGATCGCCTGTGGGAACAGTCTTCCTTTTTTGATGTTAAAGAAGAGTCATCGCTCTTCACCCCGCTGCAGCTAGACAGTGAGCCGTCGCGTCCCTAAACCCTCCATGGAGACGCGTCTTGCTGACCTGCCCTAGTCGCTGCCATCCGTTTCGACCATCCATATGCACCCAAACATGACCTTGAACATGAGCTGCGACTGCCGGACCTCGATACATTCAAATTTGGTCCTTTGCCAGACCTGGAGAGTCTGGATGAGTCCAGCATCGTCATTGACACGCCGCCCCTCGAGCCCGACGAAGATGTTTGGCAGATAGCGCTTGACCAGGGGCCCGCCAACAAAGACGTTCTGTTCTTCACATGGGAATCTTTTGAGAAGAGGCAGAATATCGAAACTCCATCACCATACCTTACCGAACACGGCCCCGAGGCGTTTGATGCAACATTGGTACGCGATGACGAGAACCAAAGTGCTGGAAGGATACTCAAAGCCGATATTCTCTTACAGTCGCTCTGGAACCTCGGACTGGGTCGATCGTCTATCCTCTTTCGCTTCAATCCCAAATCGAAATCCTTCGAGCCCACCATCCTCCAGGGGCGAGCGTCAGGACTGAGTCTGCAGGTTGCCCAGAGCTTCATTGCCTATTTCACCCATACTGGCAATACATTTCTCTATTTGCGATCCTTTGCTGAGCGCACTTTTGCTTCTGCTGCATCCATACCCGCAAAAGTTGCCTTGGCTACGTCTGTGTCAAGCATTCTCGCCAGTCTGGAGCATGCCCTGGGAAAACAGTCTTCCAAGATTCGGTCTTTGATCCAGCTACAGCACCAATTTGCGAAGCCTCGAAGTATTCTAATACATGTTGCGCGCATGGTTGATGCTGTGAAGCACGCAAAGACTAACGAGCAACTCTCTTCTATCCTGCATCACCGTCTTTTGGAAATTGAGGAGGGAGACGATCAACTCCGCCAGCTGTCATGTCAGTTACTCTGTCAAGTGGCTAGACCGAGTTTGGAGCTGCTTGGCGAATGGATGGGTATACGAAAAGAGCAGGCAGCCCTGCCCATCTGGCAACGTGACAGCTTTGTGACGGTAGAAGAGACTGTTGGTGATACATCGGCGGTTGAGTATGTATACAGATCTGAAATGATGCCGAGATTCATATCTCCCGAAGATGGAAATATGATATTTGAGACTGGGAACAGTCTTCGCTTCCTAAAGACACAGCATCCGCATCACCCACTTGCTCGCCTGGACGGACTGGCTGTTCAGCCCCCAGATATGGAGTGGGCTTTCCAGTGGCAGCAAGTGGAGAAATTAGCAGAGAAAGCAAAGGCTTATGAAGAGAGGCTGAGGCAAGCATTGTTAGCCTTTGGTGCAGGCCATACCGACGCTGTAGACATCCATCCCGTCCCATCTACACCAGCACCGGCTGCAGAACTTTCAGTTGACACACAAAATCTTGATCGGTACTTTGAAGACTCCATTCGAATGATGGATGCCACTCCCAAGTTGTCCTCGGAGACTCTACCTGATGAGTTGCAGCTTCTCATGGAAAGCATTCTCGATACGACTCGGGAAAAAGACGACTCAAACTCCAGCACATTCTCACCACCAATGTCTCTAGCCTCCACCTTGTCTTTTCGCCCGCTCATCAGGGCACAAGCAAAGCTGGTGAACGCAGCCACAGTTCGTCTATTTTTCCGTTCTCATCAACTGCGTCTACATCTGTCTTTACAGCGACAGTACCATCTACTTGGTGATGGTGTCTTCTCGTCACTTTTAGCGACCGCTCTCTTCGACCCCAATCGTGAAAGTGCCGAGCGACACAAAGGAAGAATGCGCAGTGGGGTGCATATGGGTTTGCAGCTGGGCTCCCGCAAGTCATGGCCGCCAGCGAGTTCAGAACTCCGGTTGGCATTGAGAGGGGTACTGAGTGAAAGCTACTACTCTTCTGCGCTCTTTCAGTCCACACAGAAAGACGGTCAAATATCCGCACCCAAAATACACTTGCACCATAGAGACAATGACGAACTCCCGGGGCAACTTAACTTTGCCATTCGTAACCTCACCGAGGCAGAGCAAGAAAAGGTCATGGATCCCGACGCTCTACCTGCGCTAGATTTCCTTCGACTACAGTACGTAGCGCCGCCTCCACTGAACCTTGTCATCACGACCACTGCACTCGACAAGTACGACTATATCTTCAAGTTCCTACTGCGGTTATTGCGTATGCTCTTTGTAGTTTCGCATCTGCCACGCGAATATCCCGATCGCGATTCTCGATACTTGAGGATGGAGGCATACCACTTTGTGATTGCCCTAACCAACTACGTCTTCCAGACCGGGATTACTGAGCCCTGGAATGAGTACGAATGCTTCGTCTCCAAAGTCGAAGCCCGCCTTGATCAGGAGGACATGGCTGGCGAGCTAGGCGTACGCGTCACAGAAGGCGTCGCCTCGTTGCGTGATGCCCACGAAAAATGTCTCGATAGTATTCTCTTTGCACTTTTGCTTCGCAAGCGCCAGCGCAAGATCATGGCTCTTGTTGAAGAAATATTTGAGCACATTCTTCTCTTTTCCAAGATGCAGAATTCGAAGACACATGGGAGTGAAGAAAATGTCAAGAGTCTGTATGCCAAGTTGAGGGGCAAGATACGTGTATTTTTCAGCGTATGTCGAGGTTTGACGGGCAAACAGAGCTATGGTAAGGGAAGGGGCACAGCAGAGGAAAACTCTATGGAGCGCCTTGTCATTGCTATGGAGATGAACGGTTACTTTGCTGCCTCGTGAGGCACTAAATAGTCTAGCCTGATGGGTAAACGTCTTGTTCTGATTTCGGCCCGAGCCAATATGGTGATGCTTTTGTGCGGTTCGGCCCGTTGTTAGCCACGATGTGCGGTGTTCGTCCCCGCCCATCAGGTACAAGTGTAGCATAATATTAAGACACTACTGCTCACGACTTCCTCTAGTGTAAGATAGTGACGAGCAATCGAAGTGGCAGCTTTGACACATGCATGCAATGATCTACAATGTTGGCACGAGACCATGCAGAGCGTTCCGCATCCATCGACCCGGAGCCGTCGACACCCCTCTACCAAGACTTCGTCTCGTGTCGTGGATGATCTACGCACATGACTTGAAAATACAGTACAACGTGGCAATGTGACTAGAGGAACCAAGCTGCGTGGGGTACATCTAGTAAGTCATGTACCGGTATCCAGGTCTTGTTTCTTTCTCGTATTCCAAGAGATTAGCGATGGATACAAAGTCTTTTGGCTAATATTGGAGAGTTTTTTTTTGGGTAAAATGGGTTTGCACGAGTACCCCGCTCATCGTGTATCTCGGGTCATCTGAGTCACCTCGAGTGATGTGTTGTACATACAGGGTGTAATCTCTTGGTGGACCAAAATACTCGGATAAACACTGCCTCCCCTGAAACAGCGCAATGTCCATAAGATACAAATACATACCAGTACCATAGAACTACACAATCTCGGCTCAAGTATATTAGTCTTCGTGTTCGAATCTAGCATCTTAGCATGTAACATTACTATATTTAAATGCCTGGTAGTGAAGGCGGCTTATCATGAACAGCGGCTTTGATTTAATCGGAGCTATTTTCATTTCAGTATTCCAGTCCACCACGAACTATCCAGTAAGCAGCATCTGCTTCTTGGCACAGTAAACATCTGTAGTTTCTGCCAGCAGGCCTGAATGAGCTATCTTTCTCATTGATAGAGTGTTATTTAGTGGGAATGCATCGTGGCATTGTTTGTTTCAGAATTTCGATGAAAGTACGTTTAAAAGACTATACAGTATTCAGATATTTGTTATTAACAGTTGTTATCAATTAAAATATGTTCATATCTCTACCACCAAAGTCATCCGCTCCACAAGACTAGAATGTAATCTCCACTCTCAAATCGCATTTCAAGCATCAAAAGATCATTGGTTTTCTGAGATGCTTATTTACAGGCATGAACATTACGATTGACTTCTCAGAAATGATGTGAAATAAGTTCTGAAGAGGTAGACATGTTAACCTCGAAAGATACAACGTCATTCCGAGGTACCGTAAGTGGATTCACTGCAAATAGGAAAAAGTAAACAGGTTGTCTATATTTTTAAATTTTTAAATTTACTTAAATTTCATCTTAAGTCGTATTCTGACCTAATTTCTATTACCCATAGGTCAAGATCTCGCCTACGTGTCTTGGTTTTGGGCTATGACAGGTAGCCATAAGACAAGTAGTAATTTGCGGCGAGGACTGAACATCCAAGCAGCAAGTAGCCCATATATATAAAGAAGATGAGTCCAACAGTAAGACTAGATTACAATAACCTACCTTTACTACGGCGATGAACATCACACGTGCACACAAAGTCATAGTGACACAGCTTCAAGGTGTTGGTGAACGAAATGAAGTATGATAAAAATCTATTTCTATCTTCTACGAGTGAGGTACCCGCAAGATGCATTCGTGAACATTTTGATAACCATACGCCGAACATTGACCATAATCTGTAAACTACTGCATTATGTCATGAAAAGCCAACCACCCGTCGGCATGCAAACCGGAAGAAAGGAAAACATCCATGCAGAAGACGCACGCCACTAGTCATCCTCATCGGAGAAAACTTCCTCACCACGCTTGCGACGAGCCATGCGCTCCTTCTTCTTCTTCCTCATCTCACTAGAGCTCAATTTAACCTTCTTTTTCGCTGTTTCTATTTTATTTCCCATGGCATCATACGACACTTGGTCTGGGTCCTCGTCCTTGGCTAGACGAGGACCAGCACCTTGTCCTTGAACCCAGTTGTGACCGGAGGGGGTCATGCGTCCGTCCATGACAGCCCAGACTTCTTCGGTAAGGTCGGCGGTGAACTCGGCGGAGTGGGTGATGATGATGACACCACCCTCGAAGGTCTTGATGGCCTTGGACAGGGCACCAAGAGAGTCACGGTCGAGGTAGTTGGTAGGCTCGTCGAGAACGATCAAGTGGGGGCGTTGCCATGAGCAGGCGGCGAGGACGACCTTGACACGCTGACCACCAGACAGACCGCGCATACGGGAGTGGGAAACAAGCTCAGCGTCGAGACCAAAGTTGGCGCAGTGAGCCTCAATCTCCTTACGGACCAGAGGACGGAACTGACCGCTGGCAAGAGCCTCCTTCTGGTCAACCTCGGCAACCATCTTGGCGTGGGAAGCCATGATCTCGCTACGGGGAATCCAGGCGTTGTCGGCAGTCATCATGGGTGTCCAGCGCTCGTTCTTCATGCCGATGTTCTCACCAAGAGCGAACGAACACTCGTACTCGTAAGAGTTCTTGAACTTTCTGCGGGAGTGGATACCAATGACACGGCGCTCGGTACCGTCGATCTTGTAGATCTTGTCCATGGCCTTCTCGTCCTCCTCGGTGACGATCTTGTTGGCACGGTCCATGGTCTCACGGTCCTCACCAGTCTGGAAACGCCATTGGATGTACTCGGAAGGAGTCTTGTCGAGGTGGTGGTCAATGTGGGCGAAAGCGTGCTGCTTGATGTAGGCGATACGGATGTTCTCGTGGTGGTAGATCTCACCCTTGGTTGGGACAAGCTCACCAGTCAAGACGTTGACAAGGGTGGACTTTCCGGCACCGTTTGGACCAATGACGGCAATACGGGATCCGAGAGAGCACTGGAAGGTGATGTCCTCAATCTGGGGCTTGGAGGTACCCTCGTACTGGAAGCTCATGTTGGTGGCACGGAGGATAGCCTTGGCCTTGGTTTTGACACCCTCAAGGAAACCGGGCTCGGGGAACTTGAATTCCATGTCGGAAGCGGACAGCTCGTGGTAAGACTTGGCAGAAGGCACACGCTTGACGAAGTCGTCGAGGTTACCCTTGTAACGCTTGAGCTTGAAGCGCTCGTAGTGGATGACGTGCTGAATGACGTTGTTCAAGAACTTGCTGTCGTGGGAAATGACAATGGATGTGCAAGGAGAGCTGGTGAGGTAGTCCTCGAGCCACTTGACGTTCTTGACGTCCAAGTGGTTGGTGGGCTCGTCAAGCAGAAGGATATCGGGCTGCTCGAAGACGGCACGAGCGAGAGCGAGCTTCATCTTCCATCCACCAGAGAGGGCACCAATGGGTCCGTTGTACATGGCATCAGTGAAACCGAACTCGTTGAGAGTCTTGGTGACCTCCTCCTGGGGCTTCTCGATACCGACAGCCTTGAGCTTGTTCATGGTCCAGCCGATGACAGTCATCTCAGTGTCAGCAGAGTCCAAGTCGTGCTCGACGTAGACAGTCTTGACCTCATTCTGCTTGGGGAAACCCTCAACCTGCTCGTTGTTGATGGCGCGCATGAGGGTAGTCTTTCCGGAACCGTTGGGTCCGAGAAGACCGTAACGCTGACCACGCTTCAGACGAAGGTGAGTCTGGTTAAGCAGAATCTTAGCACCGTAGGCCAAGTTGAATGTGCAGTTACAGAGGTCCTCGCCCTCCTCCTCATCGGGCTCGGTGGCCTCCTCAGCGGCAGCACCAGGAAGAGACCTCTTGCGGAGGTTCTCAGTGACGTCCTTGGAGGCCTCGTCACCGACAAGGACGGCAACGAAGGGACCGGCGTTTGCCTGCCAGTTGAGAGGCTCGTAGTCCTTCTCGTCAATCAGCTGGCCACCAATGGCACCAATGTAGTTGACGACAGGCTCGAAGCGCTCGTCAACCTTGACTGAAGAAGGAAGAACAGCCTTGAGGTTGGCGGCGATGGTGGCAATGTCACCAGACTTCTCGAGCTCGGGGATCTTGCCGTTCTGGACAGCACCGACACGGATGAGGGTGTCGAGACCCTGGCGGGTCTTCTCACGGGCCTCGGGGTCAGCCAAGTTTTCGTAGTTCTTCTCAAGCGCGGGCATGAGACGGGGCAGGAAAGCGGCGACAATCTGGGGGTCTTCGACAAGCTTGCACATGTTGTCGATGATGACGGCAGACTTTCGCTTGATGGCAGTCTCACGCTCAACGAGACCACGCTCGAGAAGGGGAACCATGATGGCAAGAGTAGGCTCGTGGACGTCAGTGACGAAAGTGGTGGCACCAAGCAAGTGAACGGTCTCGGGGACGTTCTCGGGCTTAGCGATACACTTGATGAGCTCGGGGATGAAGCGCTCGATATCCTTGTTGGAGATCAAGGAGCAGAGAGTCTCCATGGTGACGTAGGCAGCCTTCTTGACTTCAGGCTTGGTGTCCCACATGGCTCCAGAGATGACGGGAATCAGGTCAGGGACACGGAAGGCCATCTGTGCGGGGGCGCTCTTGGTGAGGACCTCGATGCACTTGAGGTCGCACATCTTCTCGGGCCATTTTTGTGCCGACTCGAGCGACTTGATGATGTGAGGGATGATGGCCTTGACGGCGTTGGGGTTCGCGGCAGTGACGATGGCCTCGGCGGCAGTCTGGGCAGCAACCTTGACGGCAGTGATCTTGTCACCGACAGCGGCCAGCACGTCGGGCAGGAGGGAAACGAGGTAGGGCTCGACGGCGGCGGAGACGTGGGCGTGCTGGGCGATAGCACGGATGGCGTCGAGGGCACGCTCACGGGCGACAGCATCCTTCTTGCTGGCGAGTTGCTTCTTGAGCACCGAGACAGCGCTGGAAAGATTGTTAGCAACAGTGCTGCTGAAAGCCAGGGGCAAATCAGATGGCGTCGACATACTGGGTGGGAGCGTCAGCCTCCTCAATGTCGCCGTTGATGAAGGTGGCGATGGCCTGGGCAGAGGCGTTGATCTCGTCCTGTGCCTTGGAGACGGTCAACTTCTGCATCATCTCCTCGAGCGCCTTGAACGCCTTGGAGTTCTCGGACTTGACGTCCTTGGCATTGTGCGAAGCAGCAGGCGCCATTGTGGTGAAGGGTGGAGGTGTGTGTAGGAGAAGTGAGAGACGAGGGGCGGGTGGTCCTTATATGGACTTAGGCGGCGGGGCCCAAAAAAACTTTTGGCGCGGAAAAGATAGAGTGAATCTATCCGTTGGGTATCAAACACAGCCGCGAGAAAATCGGCTCGCAACCTCTATGCGATCCTGACGCAGCGACACAAAGAAGAGAAAGTACTTTGGGTCAGCCCAGAGGGAGAGTGAGTGGAGAGAGGGCGTAAAAAGAATGCCTGTGGAGGGGCTTTTTATCTGTTGGTGGGCTGTCTCGCTTTGAGAAATTTTTGGCCAGGGCGTAAGCCGATAAGATTAGCGTGTGCTGACCCCTGCACACAGCAACCCGACGCCTTTGCATTCGCCTTCGCCCTCGTTCGTCCAAAGGCCCCCCCATGATTTCATCGGAAAACCCTGGAAACGAGCGAATACAGAGTTTTTTTCCCTCTCGCCGCAATTTCTCCAGTTCTTTGCCACTGACAGCCATCCGCCCCTCTCTTTCTGCTGGTCATGGCGGGGCAGAGAGGGCTTGTCGCCGCTCCGTGTCCTGCAGCAGCCCACGTTGCAAAAGGCCATCATCTATTTGTGGCGAAGTCTGGTACAGGCATGCTGACCGCCTTCTCAGGACAAGCCCTGCTTAGGGACGTGGCTGAGAGCGGTTGAGAGCCGCCGGGCCTGCAGCACCGAAGATCAGGGACTCGCACTAAAACACGCACCGCTCCAGCCTCCAGAAAGTACACATTTCCATATCTCGCCCTTCACTGCCGCCCATGTAGAGTATTGTACTCTAGGCATCTTTCGTCTCAACAGCCTTTGCTTGCATCCAGTGCTGCCGCCGGTAGCGGGATTACCTCTTCTTCTGGACCCAGTCTGCCGGCGGTCCCTTTCTGATACGGTAGGCTTGCCGGTTGCTGTTCGTCCTGCCCTGCCAAGTTAGCACGCTACGGCCAACCGCGGACGCTCCAGACTACCTCACCGATACCTCCAAGTTGAAACCACGCTGTCGTCTTCAAACCCAAATTTCGCCACACCCTTTAGCCATATTACCAAGCAGGTGCCTTGCCAATCCTTCGTCGAGTCCCACACGAAATAACGAATCTTCTTCGTGCTTACTCGAGTCTTCGCGTAGTCTTGATATTTTCGCCACCGCATTGCCAATGCAACTGTACGTTGTAGGATCCACATGCCAGCCCGGTAATTGAGTCTGCATGCGAATAGCCCCTGCATATCACTTCTTCTAGACTCGAAACTCCGGCTATTGGCTTGTTCCCTGGTTACATGCGCAAATCTCGCACCGCTGCCGTATCTCTCTCTTTGCTCCCAACAACATGTCAGAATCATACTACACAAAGTGCAAGAGGCCTCGTCGGTCATGACGCTCGGATCATACCCCGCGCCTTATCGATACCCCGGATTTCTGTGGTTTTGCACTTTACAGCACGCTTGTGTCAACTCGCCTCGTGCGCAATGACCTGCCCAAAAGTAATGCACATTGTAAATCGCATATTTCAATCCCATTTCACAAAACATTATGCAGTGGATAAAGAAGAGAATTTCAATTACATTACTAGCAGCAATGCTGCTGTTCTTAAAATTGAATGTCTACAGAACACCCTTGCACCCATACAATCCATCGTGTATCATTAACCAGAATTGTTTTAACCCTAAGATTGATCTCGCTCAAATCTATCTGCCAGCGAATTCATGACAGCTGCGAGGCCTCGGAGGGTAATGGGACCTTTTGGGAGCTTCTCTACGAAATAGACAAGAAAATCAATAATTTCTTTAACAGCTTATGGCGGATTCCGGCTCTTGCCGCCTTAGCAATAACGGTCGCGCTGAGATGATGTATGAAGCAGTTGTTGATATGAACATAATACTGAAACTACCAACAAAGTTGAGAAAAAACAAGTTGATACACGAATCCATCGGAGCCAGTGACTCGGCTCGAGTCACCAACTCCAGTACATTCACATATCAATCCATCCAGTACCATGTTCATCCTCAACTCTGAACAGTACTTCCAAAAGCTATAGATATACACTCCATGAATGCTATGCAAGGCTCAAGCCACACTCAAGAAAATATCCGAAAGCCCATCCAATGATCCACTTCTCCCACCGAACCAACTACATGTTCCGAGATATGCGCTTTCCGCCAAAGCCAATCATATGATAACAGCGCACGTGTTGTCGACACGTGCGGCGAAAATGTTGGCAGCGGTACTCGTGCGCGGGGATGGCGGCAACGAATTGTTTCCCATGACTTGGCTGTCAGTTGCTTGGTGGCAAAGTTTTCACTGAGCCTGTTGCTATTGCTGTGCCTCTTTTGGCACATTCGTGATGTCCCCATTGTCAGGGATATTCATGAGGCTCCCATTGGTGGGGGGCTTAGGGGTTGTCGCCATTGCTTGAGCGATTCTGGAGACACATGTCAACTGCAGTCATAGGAAAAAAAAACAGGGAAACAACTTACAGTAGGCATTGTGTATCTTTCCATGACTGGAGAGTTTGTGGATGCTGCGTATAGTGCGAGTAGTTGCGCGTGTATACCGAAGTATATGTATATGGTAACTACAAACTAAGCGCGAGCAGTTTATTGTATATCTCGAGGATATACATGTGATTTGACTACTTGATAAGTGCGAGTAGTCATATCTATATCTGCTATGTGTATATGCATTGAGTAGCAGGAGAGGGTGAGAAGAAACGCATATATACCTGAGGGAAAGCATTTGCGCTAGACCACATAAGGCAGTGACTGTGAATGGATTTACTGGACTTTCCCGGGTGCCTGGTGTGGTGAAAGGACACTGGCATTTGATATTGTTGCTCTTCAAACAGTAATCATGATGACACCATTTATTGTAAGCACGATGTGTCAAATTCAAGACCTTTTAGTAAAAAGAACGTGAAAGATATTGGAAGATAGTCGTTGATCCATCACAGTGATGCCGAATAACGTCTCTCAGTCCCTATTCCCAGCCCAATAACTCCAGCACACCCCCTTACCACGTCAAACCCGAAAAAATATGTAATCGTATCATACAATGCGCAAGCATAGTCCACCATCGCCTTCCTCTTCACCGTCACACCCGCACTATCCCCTTCGCCCAACACCCCCAATTCCCTGCCTAGCAACGTACTCCCCGCCTTTGCCCACCCCACCCCCTTCTCTGAATCTTTCGCGAAATTCGCCCACGTCTTCTGCATGAAGCTGCTCAACTTGATCTGCTGCTCCGTCGCATTTCCGGATCGGTTTGAGCGCTCCCACGTCCCGAATACCTGCGGAACCTCACTAGTATGATACGCACCTGCATCTTTGAAGATGCTAGCAGAGGGAAACACACCACTGTACATATAGCGATACGTGGTGTACGAGTTTCTGTCGAGGAAATTCGACAGGCGGGCGGTAGTGCACGTATAAACCGCATCGGTCAGGACTCGATCTAGTAACTTGTCGAATACAGTGATGCCTTGTTCGGCGTAGGTGTCTGTTACAGCGGTGTGTGCGTCGGGGGCATCAGTAGATGACGTGTTTACTTGTTCTACGATGCTATTGAAGGCAGCGGTGGCGTCGTTGGAGCCTATGACGGCGAGGAAGATGGGGGCTTCGTTGAGGTTTGTACCAAACATTGTGGGGACTTGAGCCCATTTCTTCGAGCGGATACTGGGTCGAGAGTCGTCGATGGATGTTCCATCGCCATTGACGGGTGGGAAACTGAGAGATTCGGATTCAATGTAGGACTTTATTTCTGTGGCGGGGACGGCGCGCAGACAGGTAATGTCTGCTTGGGATCGCCGCCAAAGCTTGCGATGTTATCTTGAACCCATTGAATTGCGAATCTCTGGTCTAAGAAGCCAGAGTTCTGGCATCCAGAGGGTATCTCTGGAGAGTTTGAGAAACCAAAGACTAAGTGTCCAGTTTATTAACTATTGCACTACAAGTCTCGTTTTTGACCACTGACTGTTTGTACGGTAGTTAATTGTGACAACAACTACATCCTCGTTGATAGTAAGAGAACTTCCATCTTAGTAGTTCAGTCCTCCGGTTCCAAAGGCTAAGTTGCCCTGTGTCCTATCAGCACAGTTTCTCATCTTCAATTTGGAATCGAGAAAAAGCACGTACCCCAAAGATCCAAAACATCACTGCCTTCTTACTGGTCGAATTCACACCAGCAGGCGTGTAGACGTTCACATACAAACAGTCTTCACTCTCCTCAGGAGGCTCGTGTAGCGGGTTATTGAAAAACTCTGTGACCTTGGCACGATTCTTGCCCGAGAACTGCTGTATGCACGCCGGTTTCAGAGTGTTTGCTTGCAAAGGGGACGAGCATGGCTGTACAGCTTCTGGTCGAGAGAAGCGTTCTGGGGGGGATTTGGCAAAGGGAACACCTAGGCAGATATTTGCTGAAGCTGGCAGACCAGGTTGGTTGGCAGGCTTGGTAGTAGTGCCGATGACAACGCCCGAAGCAATGGTTACAATAGGAGCTTCATCAGCAAAGACAGGAGTGACACGCGTAATGAGAGCAGATACCAAAAAGGCCTTCAGAAGCGACTAGATGATACAAGGGCTCATAGTGAGTATAGAGTATTCTGTACCGTGTATCATGGGAAGTGCGTGATCGAATACGACGCCAATATGACCTGTTCTTATACGGTACTAGTTCAAAAGTCCAGTCTCGGGTCTTAAAAGCGCCCCCAAAAACCCCTCTTTCTATCCACGAACCGCGCGCTCTTCTCTTCTATTCTTCTTAGTATTTATCTATTAGAAGCTTTGCACGTTTGGATGTAGGATTAAGTTCATGTGAAATGCGAAAGAAAAAAAGAAAAAAAAGCATAACACGCCTTAGCGTGGCGAGGAAGTTTTCTTGGATGAGTATGATTTGACTTTTTTTTCTGTTTGCTATGTAGCGTATCAGATCAATTATCTCAGAAAAGAATGGCAGGCCACACTCTAACCTGCCAAAAGCGTGTATCAAAAAATGACCGTGTAGTTAAAGAAAAAAAAAATCAGGTAAAGAGTTAAGATAATTACATCTACAAGACCTTGCTTTGAACCCTTAGGGTTGGTTTGGTAATAACCTCTTTACGGATATATGCCTATTAGGTACACCTCTCTATCAGGTACGACAGATACAATGTGGTTGCGACGAAGGCAGCAAAACAGCAAACTACTGTTGCGATGAGACAACAGCACAACGAACTATGGTTGTAATAAGGACACGAAGTGCAGCAAAGCTCTCTAATGCCCATCAACTCGCTATATCTTCCGTCCGTCTCCCATCTCATCATCGTCGCGCATTCATTTGAACTTGATCTCGACTCTTATCAACACAATTTCGACCTTCCCCTCCTGACTATTATCCCCGTTTTCCCTTTATGTACTATCCGTTAAGACCACCAAACCCTCAGGTACTATGATGGCTTCCTTCGATCGTCCGCCTAAAGAAATCCACGATGACATGCAGAGGTAGATAATGGATAGATTTGATAGATTAGAAGCTGGTCTAGACTCTCCTGGCTTGATTGATCTGAGTGCGATCTTCCGGATAGGCGAGTACCCTATGCATCACCACACTAAAAAATAGACGAAATGCGAACAAGCAATGCAATGCAAAACGATAGGGAGTCATTTTCTAGAAGAGAATCAGAATCTTTAGTGAAATGAGGAAAGGGAATCACCTGTGGCTTGTGCTCAGTTCAGCATTGAAGACAAGGAGTCGACAAAGTTCCCACCCGGACCAACGTGGAGGATGAGCATCCCGGGTTGATTTTTTTTAGAGGTTGACTCCTCTGTATGTATGTATGTATGTATGTATGTATGTGTGTGTGTGTGTGTGTGTGTGTGTATCCGAAAGATCATGCCTGCTATGGGCGCGTCATACCAAAAACCATGTTTTCTATCTCGGATCGTTCAAGCATGGGTTGCGTTTCCCTCGCCCTTGTCGTCAGGCTTTGGCGGGCCTTTTCGGTGATGCTGTGGCTTTTGACAGGAGCTTCCACGTCCTGTCTTCTTCTTCTGCTTCTTCGCAAAAGCCGCATAGACGACCGATGCAGCTTCATCCTCAGGACTTTTCTTTTTTTTCTCGGCATAATGGACGAGGAAATCGCCCAGGTCTCTGACAAGTGTGTGGTCATCTTTTAGTTCTTGCAGCATAATGCCGACCATTTCGGGAACATTTCTGTTCACCGTCGCCATCGTCGTCGCTGTCGTCGCCGCGGGCTTCTTCCTCGCTTCTGCTATGTTTGAGAAGCGTTTTGCAGCAGTGTTGCAGTCCACTATAGGCAAGTGGTGCCTTCCACATCCCAAAGGGCAGAGGGGCACATTGCACTCCTCCTTGCCGCCTGGGTGCCATTTGGCACAGTTCTCACAGAATACAGCCCTGGGCTTCTTGACGCGGGGAGTGCCGTCATCACAACCGGCCCTCGTCACGTTCTGTGGACGCGATCGTGGCCTGTTGAGCTCCCTGTTGAGCTCCTTACCAAGGGCCTTGCCTTGCTTGAAGGCGGCAGCGACGGCAGCCTGCTGCTCCTTGGTCACATGCGGAGGATAGTGCTTCTTTCCACACTCCCCACACATGGGTCTCTCATCGCCCCTGTTCTGCCAGTACGACTTTGTGTACTTGACCTCCTCGGCGAACTGTTTGAAAGCGTCCACTCTCTGGGCGAGTGGGAGGGACGCATCTTGGAAGGAGTGCGCATTGCGCAACACCAATTGTAGCTCAGTGTCCTTGGGCATGCCCGCGGACACGTCACCCTGATCACTGTTCTCCATTGGTCCTTGGACCGCCGAAGAATCGGCGTTGCCAGAGTCCCCACTGGCCTCTTCATTCTTGTAGAAGGGAGGCGGGGGCAGCATGTCGCTGCTGCTGCTGTTGCTGCTGATGCTGTTGTTGGTGTTGGTGTTCTACATGCACATGTTGGTTACTACGGCATGAGAAATTGGGGGGCAAACTTACCATGATGATTTGAAAAGTATTCGCGAAGAATACCAGAGGTGAATGAGGTGTGTAAAAAAGGCGAGTTTGAAAATTGCGAGCTGTATAGGCTAAAAGTGCGTGTCTGGGAGTTGTAGTGGGAAGGCAAAATTTTTCTATATATTCTTGTGGCGCTTGGATCAAGCCGGTGAAGTTAAGGTGAATGTGATGGGAAGCCATAGTATGCATTATGCTTACTGCTCAGATGTTTAGTCTGCACTATAAACTACTGCGCATGTATTTCACGGCCAACTATTATGGTCCAAAGAAAGAGTTCTCATTTCCTAGTTAACCCCTACTTTACCTGATAACAGAGCTGTGCGTTACAAGGCCAACACCGCCATTTGTCGAGCAACCATGTTAAGCAATGTTTAAGAAATAAACTGTGATATGCAACGCTGATTACGGTTAGATCTTTTCAATGACGTTGTATAGTATAATACGTGAATCTCGGAAAGCCTTCTCTTACTTGTCTGCAAGTAGACCAGAGTACTGCTATTATAAAGTGCCTTTGCTAGAAACGCATGAGATGCCAATGTTAAGTATCCTTGAACATACGCGACATATGGCGTCAAATTCCTCTATCGCAATAACATTTCCACAAATCAGTATAATCTTAGATGTATGATCCTCCATGTGTCAGGTTATCGCGCGCTTAGATGTGCAGTGTTGCTGATCGACGATTTTGCCGCTGAGCGGGCCTGCAATATGGTCTCTCTAAGCGCTTGGATTCTGTATCGCTATATTTCAGCAGCATGTCTGGTCCACCAAGGGCTATAACTTCCCGAGGAAATCTCCATACAATTTCGATTCTTATTATTAAATACCAAAATTCAACATGTTTACCAGAACGACGCCCGGGAGAGAGCAATATGAACGCACCACAGCTGGTGCGAATGAAAACCAAACCCTAAGTTCGCGGAACCTAGTACCATGGTCTGATATGAAAGTGACTGAGACAATAAATGGGCTTTCACCAGAAGTATGTGTGGCGATGATTATTTTTCAAGATGTTGAGTTGACGATTCACCATCAGGCCGAACAACAACGCAGAATAAGGCGCCTACAAGAGATATCTAGTCGAGAAAAGCTTGCTGTACATCCACCAAAGCTCAACCTCAGCAGGTCACTATGCAAAAACTGCCAAAGTGTACCTTGGGATCAGCTCGCCAGCTCCCAGCTTCCGGGTCCGGCTGGAGTCCGCGTGCTGTTCGAAATCCACGAGACTCGTGAAACACTCGCAAGATCGGCATGCATTGTGTGCAAATACATCAGTTCCATTTGGCCGGAGGGCGTGAAACTAGAGCGATGCTTTCTAGGAGTCAGGTGCCTATGCAACATGCTTCCTGGTCAAGCGACCAGTAGCCACCATTCTCCTGGCTACGATCATAGCCCACAGTTCCAGTTATCTGGATACGTTCAAAAAACACAAGTTTGGTGTTCTGAGAACTTTGGTGTCCTGCATCCATGGTCGAGTCATGATGAGCTAGCACCTCGTCATGTCGATGTTGATCGGATTAATATCCAGCTGGTCCGCGAATGGCTCCAAATATGCAAAACATCTCACAAGCACGATCTCTCAGGCCCAAGGGGTAAAGAGTGTGTTCCGGGGTTTAAGGTCATTGATTGTCGCACGAAGCGAATCATTCCAGTGCGGCACGATGTCTGCCAATACGTTGCGTTATCATATGTCTGGGGTGAGGCTGCTACGGAGGATCATAAGGCAGGGCAATACCCAAAGACCATCGAGGATTCAATAGCAGTGTGTAATATGCTAGGCTTTGAGTACATTTGGGTTGACCGATATGTAAGACCGTTTAAAATGCTGTCCAACATCCTGAGCAAGATAATAACATCAATAGTGCATCAACCAAAAGGATAAAGCCGAAAAGGGCGTACAGATCAAAATGATGGACTGTATCTATTCACAGGCACAGTTGACAATAGTCGCCACAGACCCAGATCCGTCGAAAGGTCTTTCTGGTGTCGGACCAAGAGCCCGCAACAAGCAGCAGAGTCTTCGATTGGGCAACATTGAGCTAATCAAGACTTATCACACTGATGAGGCAATTTTGCGATCGACATGGGCCACTCGCGGCTGGACGTTCCAAGAAGGATACCTATCAAGGAGAAAATTGATCTTCACGGAGAACGAGGTCGTTTACGTATGCGACGACATGTACTGCCAAGAGTCAATTCGCAGAGATATTCCAACCAGAACAACCGGACAACGTCAGGGGCTTGCTGGCGCGGCGATGGAAGGCATTTGTCCAATGTCGACGAGTGAACGAAAAGGACAAGTCAAGCTAGACGACCTTTTGAACGAGTACAATAGCAGAGACCTACGGTATCAGTCCGATACTCTCGACGCATGTCAAGGAATCTTGAGAGGTCTGTCTATACCGCACAACTGGGGCCTTCCCATTATCCCAACATCCTGGTGGGAGGCAGGTCGTCGACCACCAACATCGCACGGTATGAACCTATACTGGCAATCCGACGAGCCTGGTGTGCGACGCCCAGATTTTCCAAGCTGGTCCTGGGTGGGCTGGCAAGGCCAAAAGATATTCCACAATTACGACCACTACTACACTGACGCTAGCGTCATCGAAGCCAAGTCGACAGCGGGGAAATGGCTGAATTTAGAGCAATGCTTCAACCCAAGAGATGGGTCATTACAGACTGCGTTGTCGAAACGCATACGCATCACGGGTTCGATGGTGCAACTAGCACCATACGTTGTCAATCAGGCCTGGATCAAGAACCGAATGCCCGGATACCAACCATCCCATAAAGGACCTCACGCCGTTTTCCCATACTCTGCCAATATCGACATCGTCGCAACAGTGCATCTAGACGGAAAAGATGCGAGCACCGATGTCCTCAAAGACACCATAGCTGTGCTTATCAATCGACATCAGAAGAGAAGATACCGTGGTATTATGCTGGTGCTGAAACCCGACGGTGATCACTACAAAAGAGTAGGGATTTTGAACTTTCGCAATATTGGTGTCCACAAGGACCGACGGGATTTCACGGAGTCGAAAAGTCTTATCAAGGGGGAGAATGGGTGCTTTTGGATGAAGGATTTTCGGCAAAAGGCTGTTGAAGTGGAGTAAGTCTACAGGGTTCGTAAGTGGGAAGGATTGGCTTTGTGATGTTTGTATGAATAGCTCGGGGTTTCCGATACTATGCATTGAGAGCCTATGTTCAAGAATAATATGATAAACACTACTCATCTTCAGCTCCTATGAACAACAAAAAGTCAGCAGTGACGTAGTAATCAAAGGGTAATGTCAGCTGTGCGGAAGAGCGGAAAGGTGCTAACCGCACGTGGTCAGTGCTCGGCCCGCCAGTGTGTGCCTTAGTTCATTTGCGGACATGTCCGACTCCGCATCACGAAATCCTTTACAGCTCAGCCACGATCAATCCATGGTCAGATCGTTGGGTAGGAGCGATTTCCGAATCATGTGCCGCCTCAGGCAGCGCCGGCCAAGGGCGTTTCGCATTTGAAGCGCGCGTGTGATGGCTCAATCACACGGGTCCAACCTTCACATTCTGCCCCTCCCCCACTCTGAGCACATAACGACCGTCTTCTGCGCGCATTTTATGTAGAGTGATACTTCTCCCACATTTCCCACTCTTGAGTTGCTATCACGAAACGCGACATGGCAAGCCAGGACTACTACGGGCAGAGTCAAGGCCAAGGCCAACAAGGCTATGGTCACAACAATGAAGGCACCAGCCAGCGGCAGTGGGGTTCGGCAGACTACAACCAAGGCTACCCTCCTCAGCCTCAGGGATATGGACAACCGCAGCACGATCAATATGGCCAAGCCAGCCACAGTCCCTATCCGCCAGCGCAGGTTAGCAAATCCGCGCGACTCAGCGCATGTTGTCGCATCCACGTTTAGTCACTGACCATGCGATAGAGCCCTTACCCGCCCCCTTCCTATGATTCCTATGGGCAGTCTCAGAACAGCTATGGCGCCCCTCCTCAGCCCGTAGACCAATACCAGCAGGGCTACGATCCAAACCGTAGCACTTCTCCTTACCCGCCCACGGCGCATCATCAGCAAGGCTATCAAGATCCGAGCCAGCAGCAGTACGGAGCGCATCACCAACAAGGTTACCAGGACCCCAACCAGCAGTACGGGGCGCCTCAGCAACAGGGTCATCATGACCCTCAGCAAGGCTACGGCGCGCCCCAATACGGCCAACCCGGTGCGCCAGGCGACGCCGCTGAAGGAGACCGTGGTCTTGGCTCCGCTTTGATCGGAGGCGCGGGTGGTGCTTTTGTTGGAAACAAGCTGGGTGGTGGAACCCTTGGAACCCTAGGAGGCGCAATCTTGGGTGCTGTCGCGGCCAACATGGTGCCTGACAAGTAAGCCAAATCAATCATTTCGAAATTTTCGTTGAAATTATACTGACCCGTGTAAAGGAAGGAAAAGAAGAAGCACAAGAAGAAACATAGGCATAGTAGTAGCCACGGTTCCCATCGCTCACATGATGGTTCCGACGATGGCTCTCATCATGGGTCTCATCATGGATCTTCCCACCACCATTCGCATCACGGGTCTTCACACCATTCGCATCGGAGCTCGTCGGGTCATAGACACAGGCGTAAGCACCATAGAAGCCACAGCAGAGGAGGCAGGAGCAGTTCTAGTTCGAGCAGCAGCGATTCGGACTAGATTGAGCATTTTTAGGGATATTCTCTCAGGTCTACGCGACATTGTCTCCCTTTGGCACCAACGATTCTGTGCTCTGATTAGTAGTAATTGTGTTACTCGGCGACTATTAGGTAGCAGTTGCGGCAAACATGTATGTCTGCTGTGTTTTCCTCATCTCGGATTCGTTACTTGCAAATAAAGAATGTCTTGAAACACCCTTAAATTTCCATGTCGAGGAAGTCTTCAACAGCTATATCTGACATCTGATACTGAAATCGCATAACACGGATAAGCTTTTTGATCGATGTACGGAAGATGAGATGGCCGTCCATGCTCGTCCATAAACTTCGACAGTGGGTCCGTCTGAACCCTGACATTAGCCAAAACAGGCTAAGCGTATTACAGCCCTTTTTCTCCACTGAGTTACTCATCGCCGCCGCAAATTCCAAAATAGCCCCGCAACCGCGCTTGTGAAGGTGCAGATTTAGTCTGCCTGGTATTTTTCAATATCGCCAAAATATCTAGGCCACTTTCTAAATCAACCCGCAACATCACAATCATGGCCGACGTATTTTTGAGTTTCTTCCGGAGTTCCTTGCCCGATGAACTTGCGGCGGTAATCGAGACTACCATCAAGGCGACCGAATCAGGGGACTTTCAGTTTGTGCTTCAATCACCAGAGGCACAACTATTACTAGGCCATCAGGACGATGAAATTACTAAGAACGTCAAGAGAAGCGATTTTGGACTGTGGAGCGACTATATTTTCCATCGCCTTGGGTCAATATTGTCAAAGCGAAAGGAAGAAGAGTCTACTCCCGCAAACGAAACTGCGTTTTATCGACAGCATGTCTATTTCTTGATTGCAGTTGCTGCGCTACATGCGTTCCTACAGTCGAATGTTACTGGCCCACCGCTACCTTTCAAGTCGGCTGAAGTGCTGCTACCAAAGGATATCGCAGGTGACGCGAAAGCCCTGACTAAAACGCGCGGAGAACTTGTTACATCATTGAACGCCGACGGTGTTGCAGCATATAGGCTCACGCCAAATATCGAGCTGCTTTGCTTAGCAGACACCATTCTCATCAGCCCGCCCATCCAGAAGAACATTCCCGTCTCAGTATGGGCCAGACTAAGGACCAACTTTATCCACCAGAGACTGCTCAGTGAGGCAGCGCCAAGCCTGCAGGACGCCATCTACGACAATCTCAAGGGTGTGGAAGACCTAATTCAGAACTCGGGAAAGATCTATGAAATCAAGGATTTGCACACGACATTTTTGCTTGAGCGTGCAGCTATCCATACACACCACGGTCTCGATAAGAAGGCCCGAGCGGACCTCGACCAAGCGGCCTCTGAGCGCAAGTTCGAATTTGCACTGACTGGTTTGATGGGCAAGAGAACAAAGTTCCAGCAAAAAGACACAAGTCAATTGATTGTACTTGCTCGGAGCGCGGGATCAGAAGCCAGTGGGACCACAGAAGAAACCTCGAAGCCCAAGAAGCTGGATCTGAATGACGACACACTGCTCGAGTCTATTTCATTTACAAACGACGCTGTTTCCACTGAGATCAAAGACGAGTCAGAAATCCCTGCATCGCTTCAATCGATAGACCCGTCGAATCAACCACTGCTCGATCCACTCGACTCGGTCATTATGCTTTCGCTGGCCGAGAGTATCAAGAACACCAACCCCGCAGATGGCCTTACACGCGAGCAAACGGAGCCGTACGCAACACGAGTGCTGGAGGGCGGCAGTTCCAATTGGCAAGTTTACACTCAGGCTCTTCTCGTGCGCAGTCGTATCGAAGGTTATAAGCCGCGTACCATGGAGCGAGGCTTGCTGCAACTACAAGCACTTGTCGATCAAGTCATTGTGGAGACTTCGGGTGATTCCACCACGGATGCTGAGACGGGTCAGAAGGTTACTTCTTTCTTGCCGCAAGCTAAGCAGGAAGAGTCGGCGTCTGTTGAAGAGCGTCTACGCTACATCTTCCCGCTCTGTTCGCCGTCGCGATGGGAACTCGAGTCTGAGCTGGCAGCTCGCTGGGTTGCATTGGGTGGTCTCCGATCTGCGCTTGAAATCTACGAGAGATTGGAACTGTGGGCTGAAGCAGCATTGTGCTACGCTGCTACTGAGAAGGAAGACCGAGCACGCAAGATTATCCGAAGACAGCTTTTCCACGCCACCAACGGCGATGACGAGAAGGTGGATATGGACGCAGAAATGTGGCAAGGAGCAGAACGAGATCCTCCACCAGCCGAAGCACCACGCTACTACTGTATACTAGGTGACATTGACAAAGACCTCTCCCTCTACGAAAAAGCATGGCAAGTATCGGGAAAACGCTATGCTCGAGCCCAACGCTCGCTCGGTCAACGCTACATCGCAGCGCGCGACTACGAAAAAGCAGCAGAGGCCTATTCGCTCTCGTTGAAAATCAACGCCCTCCACCACCCGGCCTGGTTTGCCCTAGGCTGCGCCCGCCTCGAGCTCCACGAGTTCAAAAACGCCGTCGAAGCCTTCTCGCGCTGCGTCCAGCTCGACGACCAAGACGCCGAAGCATGGAGCAACCTCGCGGCTTCGCTATTACACCTGCGCCCCAAGGTGACCGAGTCCGAAAACGGCCAAGTATCAGAAAAGCAAGTGACAAACCACCCGCGCACCGATGCACTCAAGGCCTTCAAGCGCGCAGCAACAATCAAACACGACGACTACCGAATCTGGAACAACGTCCTCGCCGTCGCCACATCGACGAGCCCGCCCTCGTGGCAAGACGCCATCACAGCCCAACGCCGCATCTGCGAGCTGCGCGGCCAGACGGACGGCGAAAAATGCGTAGACGCCGAGATCCTCAACATGCTCGTCAAACACGTCGTCTCATCCGACGACGGATTCGATATCTCGCGCCCCGGCCTCGCGCGCATGGCAAACGACCTCATTGAAAAACACGTCAAGCCGCTGATTACGGTTTCCCCGCACCTCTGGATCATACTCGCCACACTGTATACGCACACGCAGCGTCCCGCGTCGGCGCTCGAGTGCCACGAGAAGGCGTGGCGGGCGGTGACGTCGCAGCCGCGCTGGGAGGCGGGCACGGAGGCGGAGTGGAATGCCGTCGTGGATATGACGGTCGATCTGGTGGATGCGTACGAGACGCTTGGTCCGCGTGAGCGCACTGAGGGATTGAGTGCGGGCAGTGGCGAGCTGGTGGCCAAGGACTGGAAGTTCAAGAGTCGCAGTGCGGTTAGGAGTGTTATGGGCAAGGGCAAGGAGAATTGGGAGGATACGGCTGGGTGGGAGAAGTTGGTCGAGAGGTTGGAGGAGTTGAAGGCGAGGGAATAGTTGTGGGCATGTGGTTGTAGTGTTTGTGAGGTAAGGGACTAAAGATTAAAAGTTGATAGATGGTTATAGGATTCACCAATTTCGTCGTTGTTGTTGTTGTTGTTTTTGCAAAGAAGCTTGATTTGTGACGATGCTTGTATATGATAAGGTATCTTGGCTGGTTTGTTGCTAATTTTCTGCCAATACCGAGAGCTCTGTTAAATTGGTTCCATGTTTTCATACGAGGCCTGGGACTTTAGCTCTCCATAGAAACACTTCCTGATAAGCTATTGTAGCATGATTGAGTATTCGTCGATGACAACATTGTGAGTGAACAAGTAGGAATATTCGAGGGGTTCGAGCCAATCGCTGGTTACAGGTCAGCTCGCTGCAAGAGCCCCACAATGGTAGTAAGCGCACATGCAATCATTCCAAACTGAAGAAAAACCTCGGTTTGACAAAGGTAACCAGCCAGGTATAGCTTCAGTTTCTATTAAGAATATGCACCATTCTCTTACTTGATCTGGCAAATTCATGACTGTTATATGTGCCGAGGTCCTATACTGTCAGTACCTCTTCCTCGCGGCTTCAAAGTGTCCATCTCCTATTAGTTGGGATTCAGAACGCCCACAGAGGTGCATACGTGTGCAGAGGACCTTGTGCTTGGCAAGAAGAATCATATCAACGGGCCTTGTCGTTTGAGTTGGGCCGGGTATGTGAGTGTCCGGCCCTTGTTGGCGAGGGTCGGTGTAACGCGACGCAGGAAAAACCCGAGAACCGGGTTCACGAGGAAATTTAGCTGCAAGTCGATCTCGCCATCGGATTTCCGTGATATCGGACGAGTCAAGGAGTCCAAACAGCCGGCGCTAGCTGGCATGATGGATGCAAGCCTCGAAAATAAGAAAATAAATTCTTGGATTGTATTCAGAGCAGGGACATTGAAGATGCATGAATGCGCATTCCATCCGTGGTATGGCGAATGGTACATGGTTTCCTGCTTGCTGCGAGATATCTATTCAACAACACAACTCGACCGGCAAACGAATGAAGGCAGCCAAAGCCGATGCTCAGCTGTTAGCAGTTGCCCAATGGCAATATTGGCCCGTAAAACAGGCGAGGCCAAGACGCTTGCGTGATAATGCTGTGATGGAGAACGAAAGCGGTCCAAGTTCCGCATGGCGTAGTGGGCGTGACGATGGAAATCTTTGTGTTCAACCTGTGATACCAAGCCAGCGACCTATGGTTCAAGACTTGCTGGGACACAGGGCCGGTTGGCAAGATTGCACAAAGTGCGTTTGTAGTTGCCGGGGCATGGTCGAGGTCTCATTCATCCAACAGACTGGCAGTTCTCCATGGACAAGTGGAGACCGCAATATGCAGCGGCCGAGTCAGTGGGGGGGCGGTCATGGTGCCATGGGCCCACGATTATATAACAGATGAGTGCAGCACATGCCCAGCATGTACCACCAACAGTGGGAAGCGTGTTTCCGATGCGAGGAGTAAGGGCCCGGTATCGTGGCAAACGACCTCGTGGGAACAAGCCTGCTGTTGGTGACGAGGCGTTCAAGCCATGTTACGTTTGCTCCTACTTGGACGGGTTAGAGGGGTAATATGGGAAGCTCAGATGGCGGTGCACAGAGAAGCGCTTGGGGTGGTGCTGGCGTTAGTAGAGCAGGAAGGCAGCGATGCTATCGTCAGACTGCCCGGACGTGCGTACATCTCTCGGTGGGTTAGCTGCAACGAGGGCACATGGCAAGGCCCTGGTCGTGTCCGAGCGCATGCAGTTGGGCACTTTGACATGCATTGCAGCAACAGGCGAGAAACAGGGAACAACGTCATTGCCCGAACGTGCGTAGTTGGTCGAGGGCAGAAAGTACCATGGTGGAAGCGCTGGAGGCTAATGCCCTGCATTTGGGTCATGGGCGGCTTACACACAGCCCCCGAAAGGCCGCTAAGGATCGGGCTGGGTCGAAAGCAGTGGGTGATGCGGCATCAGCTTTCTAAGAATACATAGAAGGCAGGCTGACCATTTTCTAGTTGGAGGGCCCTGACTGGGGCCGTGGGCGCAGAAGAAGGCATGAGTGTGGTCACGGAGCAGCAGCGCAATCAGGGTGCAGACGAGGGCGCCAGTTGATAGGACAGAGGGGCACAGCAGCGCGATGCGAGGGTAGGCAGCTGAGAGTAGATGAGGAGGTAGGTGAGAAGCGGGATTGGCGGCATGTGGCCAGAGGGTAAGGAGGGAGGAGGATGCGGGGAGGGTGAGGGAGATGCAGATGAGCAAGTCAGCCTCATGGGGACGGAAGGAGCGACGGGCGGACGTTGTTGCGCTGTTCCCGATACGGCGGGATGCAAACAGAATGACGCAGCGCGCCGTGCCAGGCAGGCAGGCAGGCAGGCAGGCAGGCACGCTGGCGGGCGAGGAAGGCGCCACTGGCTGGGTGTGATCAAGTCAGCTACGGCGGCGGCGGCGGCGGCGGCGAGGGCGACAACAACAGCAATGGGCACAGCGGTAGAGCGGGCTCGAGGCGGGCGGGTGCAACAAAGTGGGTGGACGAGCAGCAGTGCCGTGGGTGTAATTGTAGGAGCCGTTGTGGTGCCTGGCAGCGTAGGCAGATGGGCAGGGGTGGCGGCGATTGGCCCGTCTGCAAGCCACACCAGAAATAGACACACAGGCTCGCTAGGCGGGTGGCAGCGGAGCCCACGGCTCACCACACTCCAACAGGGCACAAATGCCTTTTGGTCGTGCATGTCTGCCCTCATCACCACCACCACCACTTCCACAAGGCCGCCTGGGGCCAGCCCGGGGCTCTGCCGGCCATGGGGACTGGCTGCCATGGCCGCCCTCCACTCAGCGACGCCGGCGCCCTGGCAGACGGTGCGCTGGTGGAGAGGCCCCCGGATTTGCTGCTGATGCTCACCCTCGCCCTGGGCCGCCTCTAAACATGTCTGTTAGCATGTACGTACGCATGTATAGCATGGTCAGTCTCATGGCCGCCTTGAGCCCCGCCGTGCTGCTATTGCTGCTGCTGCCACTGCTGCTGCTGCTGCTGCTGCTGCTACTTACTGCTGCTGCTACGCCCGGTGCATGCCTCCACCTCGCCGTATGCCCTCACCATATGCATATTGCCCAAGTGCCCGCCATCTCGTCTTGTTTTTCCTTTGCATCTGATCATACTTGCCCTCCTCCCTTCACTCCCACGCCCCCGCACGCCCTGTCTCGACGCTGTGGCCCACGCCTTCCGCTTCCCCAGTTCCTACCATTGCAGACGTCTCAGAGCCTCGCCCCGCCCATCACATATCGTCCGCACTACGCCTCGTCCTTGCTGCCATCCGCCCTTGGTCGTCTCTGCAATCTGCATGCCACGTCTGTCTCAGTCCTCTCGGCTCGTCCGGCCTGCCCACGACTGGCTGAAGATATCCACCACTGACAGGCAGCCATCCAGCTAAGCTGACTGCCAACTCCGCGGTGCTGCGCCATCAGAGGCCTCCCACCCGAGCCTCACCGCACGGCTTCCAGCCGCCCGCTTCCTGGCCCCGTTTGCATCTTCGCATACGGGCCAAGCAACCGTCGGGCCTTGCGCGACCATCCTTAGTCTTCATCTCGCCAGACCATACAGCCCTGCCCGCTAGCCTACCACCTCTACGGGTCCCGTAAGCACCAAACACTTATCCGCACTTGCACGCCAAAAAAACTCTCCTCTGTCCTCTCGCCGTTTCCCTGCAGTTACGTCTACGATCTGCACTCGTCGGTCTGGCCAATCCCGTCCTCTTCCGCTGCCTTGGGTCACTTGTTGGCCTCCCCCATATACTACTACTACTGCCTAGTATCGACTGTCGCCTACATCTACGGTCAAAGCTTTATACTTCTGCACCACCTTTGACTACCCGCACGACAAGGCTGTCCACTCTCGTCCATATTGGCCAGCGTTTGGTCCCTGTCTCTACTCCTTTGTTGATCATGTAAGTCGGCCCATCAGTCACATGGAATTGCGGGTCGCAATGTGCGACATTTCGTAACAAGTCACTCACTTTCATCTTAGCACCTGGCTTCTGCTCTGAATCAATTTCCCTTGCTTCTGGGCCCGCCACTGTTCGCTTCCCACCTTCGCCAACGTCAAGTTGCTATTGTCTGGCCTACCATCAGCCAAGAGCTGGCGTTCCAGTGTTTTGGCACCGGCGCTCAAAGTCATCCTGACTCCCCGTATGAATCCCGCTCCTGAAGACTTCGTTTGCCCGTCCCCAAGTAGGCCCCCCCTATCACTTCTGCCACTGAAAAGGTCCACCAAGATTGTTTCGAACCCTCCCATTCTTCACACTAAAACACAAGACTTGCAAATTTTGCCACAAAAAATCCACATCTACCAAACTGGCCTGCACTGTCTCTGCAAGCTATCAGGTGCGTGATTCACTGCTTGCAGCAACTCAAACGAGGGCACGACTACAAGTCTCGGACCCCCCTCTATCTGCTGCCTGTATCCTAACCCCACCCCTAAGCTGCCTTGCTAACATCAAAGCAGCTTTCGCCTGACAGCGCCTTCAGGCCACATTTTGTGGGCACTGATAACAAGTTTAAAACATTGCGCAGCGTGGGTCCTTGTGGCGGGACTCGGGCTGTGGGCGCTGTACAAAGTGCAAAATCACTGTCCATGTCAGGATACGACAAACCCCATCAATATGTGTATGGTGAGTGATCTTTACCTCATCTGACGAATGTGGAAGGGGCACCTGCCAATGATGGGTCGGTTGAACCCGGCACTTGGCCACGTGCGAACGATGAACATGTTTGACTGACCACCTCTACCCAGATGCCCAAAGCACCAGATCAAATCAGGCTGCAAACTACCCTGGCATCATACAGCCTGCATTCGGTCCCCAGTATACGGGTGCGTCCGTGGGACTGACCCATGAGCCTTCAAGTGCAGACATGGTCTACCTGCCTAGCTCAACCTACGAGTCACGCGGTGCGGCCAACCATCGCTCCGATCCAGCATTTATCGATGCAGCAGTTCGTCATCCCGCCTCCCTCACAGTTACTGAAACGGAAATCACCGAACAAATTACTCCCGCCCAAGGCACTGCTGGATCTACCGTAACGCTGCAACTCCGGACGAATTACGAT